TAAAACCAGAATGTTATGAACACAACTTTCACATGTATGTAGTTTGTTTAAAGCGAAAATATTAATATATGTGTTTTATGCCCTTACAACTTCCTTAAATTAAGTATTAAAAAAGTATCATCTAAGTATGTGTGTGTGTAATACTGAAGTAATGGTCTGTATTATAGATTTTTTTGGGGCTGTACAAAGTTGTTTTCTTAGAATCTTATGTTGTTTAAAGTGTGTAATGTGAATAGTGAATAATTTAACCTCGTCGAGCATAAATTTCCGTGCGTATCGGGGTATTCTCCCAGCACCGCCATGAACAATGATAACCGGATTTACTCCCTTTTTCTTTTTTTTCTTGATTTGAGCCTCGGCACTGATTCTGACCAAGATTTTATTGATCCAGGCACAATAATCGCACATTATATCAGTAACGTGTGTTTCAGGATTTTCATTGCCTTTTAACATTTTTCTTTGCAAAAATCTCCTAAAGCGTCCGTTGAACGAAAGCCAAATACTGGTGAATTTTACTCGAATTGGGATTACGCGAAAGTGTCACGCATGTGTCATTCGCATATAAAAAATTATGCCGATGTTATTTTATTTTTTCGATAGTAAAATGTGCAACGTTAACGTATAATAAGTAAATACAATTGCATTTGAGTATGATAATAAATATGAATTTTGTTATCGCAGGATGGCACACGCTATTTACAGCTACACGGTCATCAGACATTAAAGGGACGCAGTTACGACCAAATTGTAGAAGAGTTTGTGAAACAAGAAATTTGTAATGCTGCTAGTGCATGGATTTCTCGTTCAGAGATTCTTTTCCCATACATGATTATAATCTTCGCTCTAAATAGATTATTGAACTGTTGACGATGGATGGATAGATTACGCTCTCTATACAATGTCATGTAAATAAAGGGTAGTTCATTATTGGTGACATAATACATGCCTGAAGCCGAGTTGCACATTCGACCAATTTTTTTTTGGTGCATTCGGGGAGACGCTATTAGCTTAATTTACATACGCGTTCTACTTTAAAGTGCTATTTTTTTAGTTTCTAACATAATAATAATAATAATTTTTAAACAGTAAATGTGGGACAATATATGTTTTAAAGTCCTACAGCCCTATAGTGCCCTGTATGAATTACGGTTAATATCTATCATCCCTGAGTTCGAGCGTCTTTATATCTCCGCACGCGGTCTAAATGCCATGAACAAAAAGAGTAGGGATGACGATGGGCAAAATTGGTCGAAATGTACAACTCGGCTCCAGGCCTGACGTAATATAATTTCGCATAAAAAGATAAATTTTTTTTCAAGCAGTTTTACTTTTGAGAAAATCAAATTTGGAGATTGGACAATTAATATCAAGTTAATTAAGTTTGCATAATTTTCAATAATACAGTGCCATACATCGAAAGATAATTAAACAGCAATTACTATGACAAATGTAAAAATTCTTATAAAAAACGTAAATTTTCAATTTAACAATTTTAACATATATGCTTTATATAAATATTTGTCTAAGTTATTATCGAATAATAATTTACATGAATAATTTTTTAAAACATTTGTGTAGAATATAAATATACAATATATTTACATATATTGTATATTTATATTTCTTTGTATACATTTATATTATGTGTATATACATGCACAATATTATATATATGCATACATAATATAATATATACATATGTGTATACATTATGTGTATATATACATATAGGCCTTTATTCAAAACGCGCTTCCAACAATGTTAGCGCGCTAACACTATACTATGGTTGGCGTTCAGTAGAACGTTTATTTTGCAACTATTGGAAGTTTTCTTCGCGTTGATTAGATTATCTTTTTAGATTTAGAAGAATAATCCTATCTCAGCAATCATAAATGATTGCAAAACTGTTGTGTTCTGCTAAACACAGTCATTATTTTACGTTACGCATATTATAGAATTTTAGAAATAAAAACGCATTTTTATCGATAAAAGCGCGTTCTGAACATAGGCTATAATATACATACATATACATATGTACACTCACCGACTAAAAGGTTGCAACACTTTTTTAATGGGTTTCGGAATGCAGTCTGCTCACCGAACGATTGGTTCTTACTTATGGATCCGTAAGTAAAAACCAATCGCTCGGTAATTAGGCTGCATTCCGAAAACCATAGAAAAAAATCTGTTGCAACTTTTTAGTCGGTGAGTGTACAGTCATGGACTAAAAGGTTGCAACACTTTTTTTCAATGGGTTTCGGAATACAGCCTACTCACCAAGCAATTGGTTCTTATTTGTCGATCCATGAATAAAAACCAATTACTTGGTGAATAAGCTGTGTTCCGAAATCCATCGAAAAAAGTGTTGCAACTTTTTTGTCCCTGACTGTACATATTATTTTAATTTATAAACGTATCCTCGTTTCATACTTCAATAATTTTTTATTTCTTTAACTAGGATATTTAATTTTTTTTATTTGTGTAATTGTTATTTAAACTGAATTATTGTGTAAAAAAAGATAATTTGAAAATTATCCAAGCTTAATGACAGAAATAATTGTTTAATAATAATAACGATTGCTTATTAACAATTGTTTAACAGATCTCGAAAATTATTATTGAAGTAGTTGAACAATTATATCAAATGTATTGAAGTAGAATGATTGATGTTGCATGAATAATTACTGCAGTTACTAAACAAACCAGTTCTTTTATGAAAATTTTTTCTACATTTATTTTTAAAATAAAATCATATTATCTCTCAATTACATTTCAATAATGGATTACCTACATAAAAAAGCTCGATATCAAATCGGCTAGGCTATGTATAAAATTCTATGTATATTTCAACTGTATAATCTTATCATTTGTCCTTATTTATATATATTTTATACGATACACTATATAAATGTATGTATAAATATGTTATGAATACTATTTTTTTCTACATCTATTGGTACTTTTTTCCCTGGATGGAATATTGTGTATTAGTATATTATAGAAAGATACAAATAAGTGCACAAAAATCTCATTCGTTTTATATATAATAAGATATATAAAATTATAATAATTTAAATGTACTTGATTGCACATTGGAAAAATTTAATATTATTCAAAGTTATCAAAGACAATTACTACTAAATATTACCTTGAAAATCTTACATTAAAATTACAATTTCGGAATAACGTAAAATTCTATATCTTTCGTTAATTAAGAGCACGAATTTCAACTTGTGTCTAACAAGGGAATGGTCGGAACTGTCCCTCATCGATTTTAATGAGCTTTGGATATGTTATAGAGCATGAAAAAATATTAGACCTATTTTTTTTGTTTATGCTTATCTCGAGGTTTAGAGAGTGAACCACTCTGTCAAAAATAATGGATTGTATTGTTTTTCTTAAATATCTTTTAAACTATGAAGTATATCCATAAATGTTTTATATAAAAGTTGTATAGTTTCTTATGCTCTGTATAATACCATAAAAATCATGTTGCAAAAATCAATTTTTAATATGTTCATAACAATTTGTTGTAAAATTGATTTTTGCAACATATCTTTTATGACGTTATACAGAGCATAAGAAACTTAGTACTTTTATATAAAACATTTTTGGATATATTTCATAGTTTAAAAGATATTTAAGAAAAACGATACAATTCATTATTTTTGAGGGAGTTTCACCTTCTAAACTTTGAGATAAGCACAAACAAAAAAATATGAGTCTAATATTTTGTCATGCTCTACAACATATCCAAAGTTAATCAAAATCGGTGAGGGACAATTCCAACCATTCGCTTGTAAATATTACTTTCTGTGACTAGCATCTTAATTATCTATTGCAATAATTGCAAGTGCATGTATACACTGAAAGTATAAAATTTGTGAATCTTTCTATATCTAATTCTCGGAAATAACAATTGTAATTCTAAAAAAATTATTAATGCCTGTATTCTCACTTTATTAATATATCTATTTTCGTTTATGATATTGAAACGTATCGCAAAAATATATCCAGCTCTTGTAAAAATTCCTCTTTCTTTGAGTAATAGAAATCTTTCTTCAGTTTATGTATTTCTATGTTACCAGATTCCATGCCAATAGCCTAAAAAAATATATATTTAAATTTATAACATAGAAAAATCTCTTTCGAGCTTAAGGGGATGCTGGAGTGCCCTGTTTTACGAATGAAGTATGATTAATTTTCCTTGTTTCTCTTAATTGCACTTACAGATTAAAAGCTCTTAGCTCATTTCTACAGGCATAGTATTGTTCTTTAAGGTTTTCTGTAGGCTGCTTATTTTAAACGAGTAAAATCTGAAACTCTTATATACAGTACATATTGTGACGAGTTGACTGCAGGAGCCGGTGACAAAACTACAATTTTATCCTCCACAATTAAAGTATTGACAACAACACTGGCTGTCAGCTACAATTTAATACGAAAAATGAAAGAAAATTAAAAATTGTAGTTTTGTCACCGGCTCCTGCAGTCAACTCATCAATATGTGCTACATATAAGAGTTTCAGATTTTACCCGTTTAAAATAAGTAGCCAGCAGCCTACAGAAAACCTCAAAGAACAATACTATACCTGTAGAAATGAGCTAGGAGCTTTAGTATAAGAAAAAAGAGTCGCCAAAAATTTCGTTCGTATGCTACGAATAAAATTGACTTTGCAATATGTTAAATAAGGACAGATGAATGCGTTTGAGCGAGACACGATATATAATAAGTATAAGAAATGAATGAAAGATGTTACTATTATCGAATTTGGAATTTTAAAAAGTCTGTACTATCGACTTCGATCAAGTTCGGCCGTCGATTCAGCATTCCCTTAAGATGTTAACTTTTTAAACTCACCAGATATTGATTCATCATATCTTGATCTATTATGCAAGGGGATAGCTGCATGCTGCTTATCTTTCCCCACTTTTCCATAGGTAATATATGTATAGGGCAGATATCACTCTGACTCAAATCCCATACGTGAATTCTGTTAAATTTATAAGTTTCGTAATTGCTCCATTTTATTTCATATTTGCAACTTTATTCATTTCATGAAAGGTGTACTTACCGAGAACTATTATCCAGAGTATATACAGTCAACGGTTTCGTTTTCGACCATTGCAATGCTTTAATCTCGTCCAAATACTGTTCGTTTTTCAATTGTACGATCGGTCTCTCTATATTTAAATAATGAAGTCGAATTGTTCCGTCGTTACAGCCAACCTGATAGAAATCAAATTAAGATAAGAATAAAGCTTTTAAAATAAACGACAAAAGAAATCTTACCCAGAAAAAGGATTGACCAAAAGGACAAACATCAATGCAAGTTGAAGTACCGCATTTACCTGTGATATTTAATGGAAATAAATTTGATGTTACACACAATACACGTTGGATGCATACATCGAAGTAATAATATTATTTTCACTCACTTATCTCAGCTGGTTTGTACGTTAATAAATTAGTTCTATTACCAATATAAGTAACATGCAAGACACCGGTACTGTTAGTTGCGATATAAATATTATTTGTGTTTGCACTGTCTACATGCATATCGATAAACATGTTCATTCTAAAAGAAAATCGAACAGTTAGAGAAATCTCAGACATGTACTGAGCTTTCCAAAAACACATCTCAAATCTATTTTATTTACATTTCTGAGTCTTTCTTCGTCAAAAACATTTTCTGATTCTTTATAAGTCTTATGTTACCCCAGTGAGAAAGCCCTAAATCGTCTATATTCGTACCCATGTTGTGCAAAATACTCCATATTATGAGACAACCATCTTCGTCTAAACTACATATCTACCAAAGCAATTTAAAAATAAGCGTGGATTAGTAGAGTTAAATTTTAACAGATCAGTATCAATACTGTGATATAATGACAACCTGAATAGGAATAAACTTGTTACTCCTTTCTTTAGTACAGATAGTTTCGATCTTAGACAGTACGCGTATCGCAACAACTTGCGATGTATGTGCATCTAACTCTGCCGTTGTCGTGTAAGTAGGCGTTCTGATCACCCAATCTAACTCGTTAGCTTTATCCGTAATCTTCTGATGCCACATCTCATCCTCCTTAAGGTCCCAGAGATTCAACGATCTAATTTCAATATTTTATATTTTTAAATTGTTGCAAAAACTATGAGAGTTTTAAAAAAAACTCAAGTTGCATACCCATCCTCGAGTCCGGCAAACACCGTGTTGCAATACTCAACGATCTAATTTCAATATTTTATATTTTTAAATTGTTGCAAAAACTATGAAAGAGTTTTAAAAAAAACTCAAGTTGCATACCCATCCTCGAGTCCGGCAAACACCGTGTTGCAATTCGTTAAGTGAAAGCAACAAGCCGTAATAGGACATTGCGAGTAGAACAATTTCTTCGGCATTGAAGGTTCGGAAATATTCCAAACGCATCCGATACAACA